TGAAAGAAATTTTAAATATATGTTTAAGGACTTACTTTTTTTTTTTTTTCCTGGAATAACAGCAAAAGGGTGATTAAAACTCTGATTTTAGAGGTACAAATGAACTAAAGGTCCGGATAATTTTGAAATGAGATTTTAGAATCAATTATAAACAAACCTTCCCATGGGGAAATGCTTTTGTTTCGAACTGTTTTTAAATAAAAAATTAAACAGTTTAAGTTATTATTTTAACATAATAAGATGTTAAAAATTGGACACTAGAGGGAACTAGAAGGAACTAAAAATTCCAATTAAAGAAGTAAATTTAAACTTGACTTCCTAATACAGAATGAAGCAAAATATTTTCACATTGGACATATTGAAGGATATATTTGAACAATGGACCCAGAAGTTAATTCTAAGAGTGTCTGCCTCTATAGATAGATTGTGGTTAAAAGATGCTATGGAAGAGGAACAAGTTTCACCCGACATGGCTGAGACTGATTTGAAAGTGGATTTTAAAATGATAGGCTAAAGGAATGACATGGAAAAAGGGTTACATGGGACATACAAAATAAACTGGCTGATATCTGAAGGATTAAAAGGGATATAAAAATAGCCCACCAAGGGAGTGACCTGGATAATTTTCCTATATTGGATTTGCAAAAGAGGCTTCTTAAAGCTTTGAAGAATTTTGTGAGAAGGGACAAAGAAAAATGAAAAGAAATCAACTTCTAGGATATTATTTGAAGGGACTAAAGATCAAGATTTTAAGAAGTAAAAGGAAGAAATACTAAGTTGGTTTGTTTGATCAAGGTTAAAATAAATATGTTATTATCTCTGGTAACCCTTAATGGATTTTGCTGACATCAGCAATGAAATGATGAGGTTTTTTTGGATTTGTTCATAGGTAAGAGATGAGATATGGGAAGAAGAGATTATTGTATTTTAAGAGATAGTGATAAGTTAATAAAATGGTTTATACTCGTGATGAATGAGGAAGTCACTTCTTTATATATTTCTTTTCTTTTTCTTTACTATATTCTTATTTTTTCTTCCTTTTCTATTTTTCTATTTTTTTTTCTTTTCTGCACCTTCTACTTTGTTGTTGTTGTTGTTCTTGTATTAGTTTTTATTGTTGTAATTTGTATTTTTTAACAAAATTACTATTTTAAAAAAAGGAACTGCGCTCAAAAGGGCTTTTGCATGACAAAGTTCCTCAAGCATCTTAAGTGGGGCAGAATTTATGATGTGCAATGTCTGATTTGGATGGGAAGCCACTAATTCTGGCTTCAGTGTTTGTGGTAAAGGTATCAAAGAAAGTGAAATGAAGGAAGACACCAGGATGATTACAATTAATAAAAGTGTATTCATAAAGTCCCAATACTTATAGCATTGGAAAGCTCCTACTCCAACTGGCCATGGTAACCCCCAGGTGCGGTGAGGAAGGAATTCCATTGAATTGTCTCCCAAAAAAGGCTTTTATGGGGCAGATCTTATATCCTCTTTTGCCCCCCCCCACACCTTGGAATGCTCAACCCGGTCTGGAAAAATTAACTGAAAGGAAGTTGAATACTGTGCATGTTTAGAATTTATAATAAGAGAAGAGGAAAAAAGCATATAGGCAGACAATGAAAATCCATACGGAGAGGTACACAGTAGCACAGGCTGTTTGCCTTGTTAAGCCTCTGGCAGCGAGGCATGGGCCATCCTGGAGGAGAAAGCAGGTAACAA